AATGATTTTAAAGCTGTACACCATTTCACCGTGAATGTAAAGAGAGAATGCCTGTAGGTAAGAAATCAACACGCGATAGAAAAGCCATGTTTGCTGCACTGGAAGGAAAGTTAGCTTAGTGGGTTATGGAGTCTATGCACACTGTACGAAAAATGAGGTGCTTCAAGTCCCCATATGGAATACCGTCCGTCACTAGTGGGTGGTGCTAAGGAGAGATTGGAGCATGGTGTCCAATGAATTCCTGGGTGGCTTTCACATGTGACTGTTCAAATTACGTATAAGTTTTTGTATAGGCCTACCCCCCACTACGCAAATGAAAAATTGTCCAAAAATTATCGGATTAGATGCGGCAATACAGAGTAGGTGCAGTCCCGTGTTGCGATTTGAAGTCCGTGAACAACACAATCAAGCTATATCGTAACGGGCTGTGCCTGCTTTGAGCGCTCAAACGCAACTTCTAAACCTGGTTTGAAGACTTTGTCACTAAACTGTTCTACTCCATCATAAAATTAATGCCAGAGTACGGCTTTCACGCGTACTGTTCAATCACTCGAAGCGAAGCATAGAAAATCGAACGAGTCCAGCAAGTCGCTACCAGGATCATTCCGAGTTTATGATGATTAACCTACAAAGACCGGTGCGATAAACCAGGACTTTACACCTTATCCTATCGTCGTGTGCGAATCGGTACCATCGTGACCTACCGTATATGGCATCTCGATGAATTCCTCATGATGAGGCTGCTGCTGCTTCACATCCGAATGCCATGTAGTACACGTGGACACCGGTACAACTTTGTGGTGACGGAAATAAAGCGAGTTCGTCACTTCTTGTGCTTCGTACGGAATGGTGAATGTCTTGGAGGCCAAATCTATGCAGCAGTTCAAAAGTTCGTTGGATTTGCATTCGATTCATTGACCGGTTGTTCACTGGCAATTATATCTCATATTTGCGGGCAGAGTGACATTTTAAGATGCTACGTAAGAAATTGAAACAATACTACAGGAACAGACATCTAGCCACTCAAAACCATGGTTAGGAATCATAGAAGAGTAAAATGTACAGCACTTGCAAAAAAGAACGAAAAAAGAAGGCAAACGAAAAGCATCGATTTGATTGTCTTTTCAACTTGAAAATTCCCATTCAGAGTCAAAAGAACACGAGACCATAGGTGAACAATTGTTTTCGATGTTTCTCTTTAGACCATTATAATCATATTTAAGGGTAAAATAACGAACTGAAATCAACTCATTGGATCAAGTTACATTAACCAGTAACATTACAAGTTAATTAACTATGTAACTTGATCCAATGAGTTGACTTCAGTTCATTATTTTACCCTTAAATATGATTGTAATGGTCTGAAGAGAATCATCGAAAACAATTGTTCACCTATGGTCTCGTGTTCTTTTGATTGTCTTTATTCGCATGCCATCTTGCTTTTTAGAGTTAATGTTTTTGGAATCGGGAATTCACGCAAACTTGAGTGCACTGCTTCCGCTGCATCCGGTTCTGAGATATTGACTCGAGCGTTATAAGCCACTGGCATTCTTCATCATTGGGTTTCCAACCGAGTAGACGTGTTTGTCCGGCGATGGCTAGACGAGATGTAAATGATTTGATGGTCTCCAAACAGTCGGCTGGCCTCCATACGGCCTCGTATAATAGGGCCCTGGGAGCGTAAATAGGGCGCGGCGTGGTAGACGCTCGTCAGACATGCGTAGGACGTGGCCAACAATTAGCGTAACAAAACGAGCTACAAAAAGAGAAGGATTAGTCTCGCCAAAGACGTGGTGTCTGGCGCCATTGTTGCCTCCATTGTCAAAAACCGAAAGCCTACGCATGCTGATATGGTCGCACCAGATAGACTTAATCGCGATGGTTCACACCGACTCCTGAATGAGAGGCCAAGGTATTGAGGGAACATGCGACACTGGCGAGCAGTATGTCTTTTGAGTACACAAAACCCCAAGGGCCAAAAATGCCAATAGCACAAAACTAAGCGTGTCCGTGATAGTCGAAACATGTGCAATTTTATAGGTGTTTTTTCACAAGTGTTGCATGTTGTGTGGGCCAAAAGGACAATAACAATGTTCTGTTGCATAAAATGAACACACTGTTCTGGTTTTGGGCGAAAACATGCCAACTCTGTCTACCTCACATGTAGTCATTTGGTGCACACAAATTGAAACATGCTTGGTTCCGTGTTCTGGTTGTAAGTACAAGTTCGAACACAATTCTGTGGCACAATCTGGCTTCGACTATCCAAACCCCTGGGTCTTATTCGGGTTAGGTTTTGGTTCTAACCCTAACACAGTCATCTACACGGAGCGGCCAGCATTCGCATACATACAACAGTAGGGCGCGAACACTGGTATTGTAGACCCTATCCTTCAATGCGAGCGAAATGTCCAGACGACGCCACAAGTGCTTCAGGTTGGCAAAAACCGACTGGGCTTTCGCGATACGAAGGGAATCTTCCACTCTCGGCAGTAATACAGCTTCCTAAGTACACAAAACTGTCCACGTGTTCGAGCTGTATGCCTTCGATAGCGAGCTCAGGAGGGGGCGATTGTCAATACTGTGACAACAGTTTACACTTAGAAGCAACAGAGCACATATTATACCAAGATGCTTCAGCCGCTTGTCGGTCCAGGATTACTTGCATACCACGAGTCGTCATTGAGCAAGGCGATATCATCAGCATAGTCCGAGTCGGTTGCGCGATTACTGCAAGGAGCTCGATGCCGAAACTTTGCAGCCCCTCTAGAGCTCCCAAGATGACGTCTTCGATAGCAAAGTTGAAGAGAAACAAAGACAGGGTATCGTTGTTATACACCACTAGTGACGAGGAAGATTGCAGAAGACTTGCTGTATGCTTTCACCTTGGTTGAAATATGGAGGTATAGTGCCCGGAGTATAATGACGTAGTTTTCAAGAACTCCAATCTTTGACAGGCATCGCCATAAAGCAGTTCAGTTTACTCAATCGAATGTAGCCCGAATGTTTAAGAACGCAACAACGGTGGGTCTACGATAGAGATGACGTTGTTCAGAGAGCCGATAAAATGTGGATACTTGGTCCATAGCTCTCCGACCGAAGCGAAGACCAGCCTGCTCCTCCCGGTAGTGTTTCATACGTTGGGGCTCGTCTGCGGAGCAAGATAGATCCCAGTGTCTTGGAGGCAAACGAGGTCAGACTGATCCATCTGTGATTGAAGCATGAAGTATGAGAATATTTCTTGCAGATTAGGACAATTACTGACCCTCCTGAAGAAGATAGTATCCTTTCATCTTGCCGATTGAAAAATTCCGCGCCACTGTACTTGAACAATTCTGGGGACGTTCGTCTGAGCACGCAGCCTTAAAGCGCTTCAAGTATAGGATTTTAAGAGAAACCTCCACTGCAGTGAGTGGTTATAGTGACACCTACCATGACAAGCGACCAGGTGCGCTGCGTGCAAAGGTTGATAGCTAGAAGCAACCTAAGTGAGACTGAAATTGCCCAGCCCATCTGTCCACATGCCTCTGTAAGTTGGTGATTCGCGTCCCATGCGCATCACATATGACTTCGCTGATGCCAGGCCTCCTGCGTTCAGTGATCCGGATGAGCTGGAATAGTTTACGAGTATTTCCAGTAAGAGCAGTGGCCTCTATCTCTATGGCACGTTTATACCAGTTAACTTCTAGATCGCTGCGAAGGTTTCGTTTTAGTTGTCGGCTTACAATGCGGCGAAGTTCACTGTGGTCTGAGTTTACTGGGATTAGGGCGGCGGTTGAACAAGGTCAGGGAGTGCGCAGAGATCCAACACTTCGAGGGTTGATGAGTTCCCCCACAAACTGAATGGCCCGAATTTAACATTGTATGCTGCAGGAAGCTCTAATGCAGCAAAGCTAGAAATGCAAGTAATGCACACTCCAAGTCGCTTTTCGAAAGACGGTGTGCTGAAGTGTGTCATATGACCGCCTCCTAATGAACACGTTTAAAAACGGTAGACTGTCTTGCTGTGCTATCTCACGTGTCACAGAGAGATTAGGGTGCGCGGAATTTAAGAGAACAACAAGTCGCTCAGAATGCTCGCCACTAGTAAAGTCTGGTCTGTCATTCAATATCTCGGAACACGGTTGGAACCGACTGGGACCTCATGATTTAAGAAGCTTTTGAATAGAGATCGGCTGTTGTAAATCTTTTACTGCGACAACGTTTCACTCTTGACGCACGAATTTCTTCAGGTAAAGTGAATCAGTACACACATATTATGTACCGGCCTCACCTATAGAGTACCAGTTCACCTGCAGTTGCGGTGACGTTTAAATAGGCAGGACTGACCGTAGACGGGCCCTAAGGATGACGGAACACCTCTTAACTTGGCTACTACAAGTGTTGGCGCAACAAACTGGTGCGGGTAAACTAATGAATCGCAGTTCTGCTTCGACCATTGCGAGGCATCTCCTATTGACTCCTCATCTCTTGGATCAATCGACCGCGTTCAAAGTATTGGCTATCACCGAGGCCTTACTTATCTAAAAGTATCACCCGGTGTTGTGTGCACAGAAGCAACCGAAGCCATCTGTTAGCTTGCCCTTGGTTTCGAGTGATCATTTTTTTCAAGTTGGGTTTCACGTTATTCACTTCGGTTTGATTCCTAATTGTATTGTGTTCGCGACTGAGGACAGCAATGGAAACGTTAAATTTTCGCGACTAATGTCTTCTTTCTGCGCTGAGAAACCATTGGGTTAGCGTCATAACTTGTTGATTGCGCATGGTCAATGATATCCGCAGGTGAGAGGGAATTAAAAGAATAACGGAGATGTTAGGTTTGTTGATACCGCTACCAATTTAGCCTCCGAACGAACGGTCTGGGGAGTCAGTAAATACATGGAATGCATCGGAGAGGATTGATGCAAGTGAATTGTGAAAAAAAGTTAGACAAAAAAAATCAAAATACGATGGGCCCATGCAATCTCTTGGCCAAAGCATAAATTGCAGAGATCACGTACCGACATCGAGGGAATTCCACTCTGGACAGTACATAAGATATTCTCTACCTGTGAACGTGTCGATCAGTTGTGGCAGAAGTACTTGTCTGAGGAGAAAAGAGGAAAGACACCGGAATGCAAAGTAGTAATCAGGTGCAAGTCAAGTGAAATAGAAACGTGGTTTGGATAAGTGCGAGTACTGATCACTAGTCCTGGTAACACGATTAACGGAATATATTGAACAGACTACAACGATTATAGCAACGAAGCAGAATGGAGGAGATTAGAAACTCATGTACATACGCACTGGTGTTCGCAAACACAACTTGGATAAAGGAGGATAGCTGTCAGCGAGTGACGAATGCTTGTCATATTATGGATGAACTGCTATTGTATGTGCATTTAAAAAAGTTATAGAGACTCCGTTTCATCAACACCTGATGCAAGACTCAGCCTTACTGGTCTCTAACAAAACATGCAACACAAAAAATGTCTAAGCATTCCGTATCGCCAAGTGTTTTATGCATTGGAAGGCGTAAGGTAAGGTGGCGAGATCATACAATAAAGATCTGAGAACGAATAAGCCCATCTCTCCGGAGTCGCTGCCATAATCATGTAAAACAAGTGTGAAGTATCGCCTCAGTGTATCGTAAATGCGTCCGACAGCGTGGTGTACTACTGATGAGTAGTATGGGTAAAATCGAGCAGACGTGCGCGTGGTGCACAAATCAGCCATTATCGGTACGTTGTGGAGGAGGACGCGCTGAGGAAGGTGCAGTGAGGCGAGAGTGAGAAGAGTTAGTTGCTCTACAAAAAGGCAGGGTAAAGGCGGTTTTGGATACGGCGCGAACGGGTACTGTTGACTTGAAATGGGCCGCTACCGAGGCACTGATCGCGGGGTTCGCCAGACCCGCTGGTAGCCAGGATGCGATGTAGCGGTTAGAGGAGACTCGGCGCGGTTTGGAGTGGCAGTGGATCCGTTCCTCTTCGCGATCCACCTCAGCGACTTTCTGGATCCGGCGTTACCCAAATTGGACGACGTGTCAATGACAGCAACTGGAGGTGGAGGTTTCTGGACCGTCTACTTTCCACAATGGCGGATCGACTGAGGATTGTGAACGACACCAAAAACACAGGCGTCGCAACTATCCCGAGTGGAAACAGAGTTCGCACATGAGTCAGTCACTGCATGGAGAGCAGAAGGCTAAAGAGAAGAGGCGCGATTGGACAGACTAGAGGAGACATCAGGGCATTTCGAATTCCTCGTCAGAAAACAAGACCCAAAGGACGATGCTTCCTTTATAGGAAACTGGGACACTGGAAGCGGCAATGTCCATCAAGGCACAATATCACATTGCGTACCGACCGAAATGTATAAACCGTATTGTTCTTGTATTAGAGAGTGCATAATTAGGGCGCTAATAAAAGGTGCGATTGAAACGAGTGTAGTGTGAGCGTCAAAAACGCTTGGGAATTAAAGCAACGCGTGTCCCTCCGGGAAATCAACAAGAAGCAAAACAGGAAACGAGAAAAAGGCACTATTGAACAAATTAATCATAGAAAAACGGTCAATAACTTAACGATCTCAAAACTCAAATGCACCAACAGGTCCTTCAATACAAAACAATCTCTGGGCAAACTCCTGAGTCCGATCCGTGAACTGAAGTACGAAAAAATGATCTCGGCAGAGCATAGTAAAACACGTAAATGTGTATTGTGAACATTCGTTGCAGTTAGGCTCACATACAGCCACCACACATCCAGCGAAGCGGGAGGCGGCCGTTTCGTCCTATTGGGACTCGGCAGTAATGCGCCCCTGTCGAATCCTGCCGGATCCGAACCCACGACCCTACTCTTGCGAACCAGCGACTTATGCCACTGAGCCATGGGCGACGGCAACGGAGTGCCATGACTGATAGCTAACTGCGATATAGCGCGGCGCATCCTCCGCTGTCATTCAGGTTATGAAGGTGCAGAGGACAGGACTGGTCCCCAGAGCCACGACTTCCACTGCAAGTCGAAATTGGTGAATTGTGGTCAAACGACATAATGAGACCGTTCTCGATAACAATCAGTATAGAGTGGTGATGACCAACCACTTTACTCGATGGATTCGAGCCGGGGCCATTCCGGATTAGCGGGCTGGCATGATATCACGTGTCGTGATGAAACACCTGATAGAAAGCCACGGAATTCCGTAGGCCATACCGAGAGACAAGGGCCCATGCTTTGAAAACGTTGAGTTCCGTATGTGTCGGGAGAAATTGCGTATCATAAAAACACGAACCACTCGCAATCATTTCCGGATTAACAGAGAAGAGTAGAACAGTGTTGGCGGAAGGAGTGGAAAGAAGCTAACGGGACGTCTAAGCAAGCAAGCACCAAGAGATCCCCGTGCCAACGAATGTAAGGCCGCGGACCTCGACTTCCTGTGGATCTAAAAGTGGAGTATGATCGGCCTCTCAGTTACCGCCGAGGGTAAGTAGCTAACCGAAATTTGATGGCAGCTCAGGTCCGAATGATGGAAAAATCGAGACTAAACATGATCGTCCGGAGAATTTCCAATCAGATCCAAAGTGCAAACATCATCAACGTATGACTGCATGAGACCCAGGTGACAGGAAAATCCTGCCGAGGTGGAAAGGACCGTGTGGCGTAATAGATCGACGAGGGCACGTAGAAATCATTGTTCGACGGGGAGATGGAGGGCTAGTTTACGCCATCAAATTGTGGTACGAACGAGAAAAAGAAACTACGGCGTACAAGGATTAGCCTCGAAGGTGGGAGAGACAGCGTGCGAGGTCGACGGCTGCAGATACTCTGGAGAGGGGAGGAGCGTGGTGCACTCCTAATGAGAAGTATCAGTGAAAATGGGCAGATATGACGAAGTAAGAGGAAGCATGGATCGCTGAGAAGGGGGCGTGTAGTGCACAAAGGAGGAAGGCGCAATGGAAGGAGCATAAAGAAACGAAGAGTCAAAAAGGCACCAAGGAAATATGTAGCTATACCCGACCGTTCCACGTTCGAGCTACTATGTCATCTAGATGTGAGCTCTGCAATATACAACTCGTCTGCACCGTATTGCGTCCATAACAAGGATTTCCGGAGAGTGACAACTCAATTTGGGCTATATGCTGGTTATGCTGAAACCGAATAAATGTCTTCAAAAAAATACGTTGACAGCAACCCATTCTTCAGCACTCAGTGTCCATATACGCAAGCACTATGGGGATACATACAGAATGCACTCAAGACAAAAATACTGTGGACATAAGTTTACTTCAATTGAACAACTATAATCCGAGCACCGAAGTAAGGTGGATCCAGTTGCCACGACTTGCACCGCAAGAATAACAATTAATAACAACGGTATGGTAGTGGGACTGAATACAAATAGAGAACATGAAAGCAAGAAGGGAATGTGTCAGACTAATCAGAATGGAACGAAAATCAACAACCAGATGAAATAAACCGAATGCAAGAACACTACTGACTGCGTGACTGCGCCGTCCGACAGTCTCAAACCATTGGTATGGACTGTCCCAAGGACTCCATCCACAAAGACGGCACGCACAAACCTGAGCAACTAAGATAATTGCTTCATGACTCGATGCTATGTCATGAACTGGACACCTTACAGCTTCGCCTAACTTGGTGCAGCCACGGCGTTTAATGCACGCCGAGGAAGCCGATCAGTGGGCACACAGAGAACATGGAATAGCCAACACAAGTGACTGATTTAGCAAACACTCGAGTGAGGCACCAGAATGCTTCTTGCCAAAAACCAGCTAGCGGACCTCAGTATTGCTCATCCGGTGTTCCCACCAGACGTGACTAATACTACGCAAGCACCGGTGATCAAACGCGGCCAAGTGTTTAATGTTTGCGCTGCGAACTGGCCAGGTCTCTGACCCATCCAGTAAGAATAGTCTTACTGTAGCGATATACACCCAAACATTTCACTGACAAGCTGATATCTTGCCGTCTCCGTAGATGGTTGAGCCTCTGGTAAACCACACGGGCATTGTTGATATGCGAAGTAACTTCCTCAATGACGTGACCACCAGAGGTCACACAGCTACTAACGTAAGTGAACCGCTCCATCATTTCTAGTGGCTGTTCGGTAATAGCTGGGACCGGAGGTGTGTCGGTCCAGTCTTGCAGTAGTACTTTGCACTTTGAAGGTGCAAAGCACGTGCCGAAGCGTGCCGCGCTACGTGTCAGTCTCTGCAATAGTGCTTGCATAGTCACTGCGCCAGGCCCAAGGACAACTATCTAGTCTGCATACTCCAGGTTTGTCAGTCGGTCGCCTGGCAAAACTTTCACTCCAGAATAGTCTGTAAGAACCGAGTCACTCATGATACTGAGGATATGAAGCCGCATATAAGACGCCTAACATGACCCGATATAAACGGCGATGAAGAAGAACAAGTAGAATTAACAGGGACGGTGTGCTGTTAATGAGGAATGCAGAAAAATGCATGAAATTACAGATTTTTTAAGTGCCACGGGTTCTCGTAATTACAATCCGCAGAATGATAGTGGTAAAAATTAGTGATAGGAGACAAAAACTGCATCGACGGAGGACTATTGTCATAATTGTACGCATTACTAACGCTTTTCACTTATGCGACCTGTGGTTATTATTAGAGGATTATGTGAAAAGTAGAATGATTGTAATCACGAAATTCCAGGTGGTCCTTAGGCTAATATGTATTTTTGAGACAAGCGAAAGCGATGGAATGCGAACAGCATAAAAAGAAAGTGGGGGGAATCGCGGTCAGAAAAACACAGGTAAAATTTATAGGCATTTACCCGTCTTCCGGAATATCGCGTAACGAACAACCGAGACGGATGTTGGCTGTACCAGCTGAGGTGAATATCGGCTCTCGAGCGTTCACCCATGCAACGGATGGAAAAGAAGCAGATGAGGTACCGTGCGGCTGGAAATTGTGGAGTCGGCGTTGAAACCACTCATGAGTGGCTATGTGGAATCGGTTCCGATTGAACGTGGATAACCGTAAGCAACGTACAGCACAGTAGTTCGCGTAAAGGTGAATTCCAGTAAGAGCAGCGAAGGCAAAATAGATGAGGCTGGATGCAAGGTGACAGAAAACAAATAGTTGTAAGTTGTTGGTTCAGAACACATGCTAAGCATGTTGGCCTATATCAGCAACAACGTCGTCAGGGTTGGAACGAAACGGGTTAGAGATAACAATTACGGATAAATAGCGCCGCGCCAGTAACAGATACAACACAGACGTGTCAAAAGTAACGTCAAGTACTTACACATCATTGCATCACATGGTTATAAAGTGAACATGGAGTGTCGCATGGGTGTGTTTAGCCCGGAGCAAGACTAAGCTTAAGGAAAATAATTGAAAAGGATAAAAAAACGGAGGAGGAAAGGACAGTACCGGTGGTAGTGAAATGTGGGTAGATGATATATAAAAGTTACCAATCCAAAGAGATGTTATCTGTTCTTGGTGCGCTATTTATAACTCCTGAGATTCAGTAGTGGTAACAATAAAACAGTGCGTAACGGTTGTCTAGGGAGCACTGATGTACAGTTCCAATGAGAAAAGCTTCAGATTCGCCACGCCTTGAGGAATTTACCAACGCAATCGAATGTATTAGAGTTTGCACTTTATTGACCAATGAAGCTGTTAACACGTAGTATGACGAGCCTACAAGAATTCACTGCGTGTCATGAGTTCATAGAGTTACGATGGAATAAGATTTCAGCTATCAGTCGATTGCGAAGTCAGTTCATGGAAGGACTAGCTGACTGTAGCGGATCCTGAATTTCCAAAGTGTAAATAAAATCGGTCAGAGATTTAAGGGCAAAGCGACTATGCAAGTCATCCGAAGACAGTTAAAATGGAATATTATACACAACATTATGATATCTTTAACGATGAAAAGTTGTAAAAATACAGCTGATAGTGATCCTTTGATACTTTACGGTCATAAATAAAGTGAGGAAAGCTAAATGCGAGAAAACAAGTCAAGTTTCCTAATTTTGTTGCTAACGTTCCGTCGCCAATCGACTGGCATCATCGGTGTGCTGTCACCACGACAGGTGACGAAACGTTCGTAACAAAACTACTACGTTCAGTGAACAGCATTAGTAACAGTATATATATAACTATACATACATATTTACATATATATATATGTATATATACAGATATTGATATTTGTACAGGTAGTATCGTGCTTGTGCAAGAGTAATTAACTGTTCTGTGATTGTCTTTATTTGTGTGCTTTTCCGGCCACGTTGGTTTATGTGTGAACATAAAGTATATGGTACTGGTGGACGTTGTGTATTATGCAACTGCTAATGGTTGTCTACATGTAAATACCTCCGAATGCTTGAGCCGAAATGCTTTAGGTGGTGGTGTTGTGTGAGGCCAGTGCGCCAGCAAAGCAGTTTAGTACCATGAGGGCGTCTGGACCACTGATCACTCGTTTGAGCACTGGTCATAGGGTTCTGCACACGATTATAAATTTAGTGTCGCTTTCCACTAATTAAAAGCGTCGAGCCCGAATGATAGGTAGCTTCTGTGATTTGCTTTATTGTGCAATAGTAATCTGCATTGACTCGTTCGGTAGCAACGATAGATTTTTCAATGCAGCTTTACAGTGATGGCTCGCGGATTGTGTGTCCAGTAAAAGAAGGAACAACCTAGGTTGGGATAGTGGCCGTTATAGGGTCGCACAGTATAATATGAACAAAATCAAATTACGGTCCAATGGTATGAAAATAATGTCATTTGAAACAAGTGGTGATAGGTTAATTTTGAGTACAATTCAACGTTCCGTTTAGCGCGAAGAGGAGCGCTCAAATTTCGTCCTCTCGAATACAGATTGTTCTGCTCATGGTCAAAATATGTCAACGCAAACATAGCATGAGTGGTTCACTGACTAAGGGATGACACTCTGAAGCATAAGAAAATAGGGGTTAATGATGAAAGGCAAATAAATACAGTGTCCTCGCAAAAAATGCCTACGAAATATGGTAGATACTCCAACTGACTCACGTTTTACCAGTAAGTAAGTAAACCACAAGCAGATTGAGCACCAACGCCATGAGATTTGACAAGGTTTCCTATGTGAAAAAAAGGAAAACGCACAAGCATGTATGCTCGTGAGAAACACGAGTTGATGTGTTCCCATCGATACAAAGCTTGAACTGGAGAGAAATGATGCAAAACAAATGGATAAAGGTACACAGAACACGCTGATGGTGATAAGGCGGAAAAGGAGTCCGTAGTTCGCTTGACGGGACTAGCTATGGTGAATCGCCCACTAGACTACATGTCAACATGACCAGCGGTCAAGTTTCGGAAAATGAGAATAACACAACGACAGAATGAGCTGAAAACCATAGTGGTTTTCTTAAAACCAATAAAGTAACAGCGGTTAGGAAATATGAACGACGAACAAGTCGAATCGTGTGAAGTAAAAGGCAACTAGTCCACACGTAAGAATGAAGAAAACCGAAAACGACTTCCAAAAGTTGAAAAATGGATCCACATCCGAACACAATCAGTAAAGGGAAAGGGGTGGCGACAATAGAAAGAGATGAAAAATTTCTGTACAGACAAATCTGACATGTCAATGATTTCAAAATTACGACGTAAGGCACTGTAACATAGGCGGTGAACAAATTAAATGATCGTGAAGATCTCTTCACGTGAAGTTTGAAGTCGTGTGACTGTGTGGCAGCATCAAAGAGACAGCTGCAGTGTACAGCACTCCTCATGCTGACCTGAGAAAGAAGTCATTGAGAGTATGCTGGATGACAATAACAAAATGTACACAACTAATGGAAGTGGAAAATTTGGAAATTTCGTTAACATCTTTGCCACCGCCTGGTTATGCACAATGTCAGGGTATCACGTCGATTGATCTAATAGTGATTGATAAAACCTAGTAAGCAGCTGTTTGGCTCAAAGCGAATGATGCGGTAGGTGCAAGATAGAAGTTACACGCAAACCGGATACGCTCACCTGACTTCCGTCTTTGGCAGCGACGTCGGCCACATTATTATCCAGAGCTTGATGTAAAGTAATGGCGGCTCGCGTAGCACCCCCAGCAACACCTACAATTGACTGGGGAAAGCATAAAAATATATTTAAATGGTACTTTTGTGTATGTCAGAAATTTTGCTGATCAAAGTGTAATATAACGGGCTGATGATAAGCGCAATATGCGTAAAGCAAGTCAGCCTACCGATGTAATCTTCGAAATTCACAAACTGAAGGAACAAGCTTAGAGTCGCGAGACCGCGGTATAAATAAAAGGAAATTACTATGTGACAGAAAGTAGTTTGGGGGAAACCGGATAACGAGGTGACGTTTTACCCTGATTAATGATTGTCATATACCAAAGATAAATGGCCTACATCCAATCCTGTCACCCTTCTAATATACTACTAATCTCAAGAGAGCAAGAACGAACAGCATTTATGCGGGAAGACACGAAATAATCTGAATTCAGGTCATCCCGTATAAATGCTGTTCGTTCTTGCTCTCTTGAAACTTCTGAAGGGAAATGGCTGCATGAAATACTACTAATCAATGTTTTGTTCTAAATTAAGCGAAGCCTTCAAATTGGTCGTTACTGTTGCTTTTAGAAACATCGTTTACTTTACGCTGTCTACTGAGAACCTACAAAGATGCGTTGTTTTACTTTACCAGATTTGTTTAAGTGAACCACATCCCAATTAACTTCGCCGATATTTTTGAAATCATTTCGAAGTGCAGCATGAAAAAAATCTTTCCTCGACTACGGTCACAAAGATAGAAACTCTTCAAGATTGTGAGAAAACACAATGGCAAGACGAGGAAACGTCGCGCTGGTTGGACAGTTGGCCTCCGACAACGCCTTTTGCAGAAAATGCAAGTACCACTCATCTACTCCGGCAATGGACGTTCAGTGCTAGGAAAAATGACTGACCTCGCAGCTCTTATACAACATAGGGAAGATATAAACACAAGTATAATTAGGTTACAAAAAAGCTGATCGTACGCTGAAATTGAAGATGGAGTTATGAGCACTAGTGGATACCGTGCGATTAGATCCGATCGCCCAAGTAAGCCAAGGAATCGTAGTGGCGGCGACATCACGTACGTTAGTCAACTCTGGTGCAACTCAGTCTAGCAAATATTCACTCTAAGACCTCTATTAGTTGTCACCTACTTGAATGCAAGCCTAAATTTCTCGGTGGCTTTCAATCCGTTGTTATCGGAAACTTGTACATTGCGCTTGATACATCATCATCCGAACTGAAGCATTTAGTTGAGCAAGTATCTATGGTATTGTTGCCGAAACTAGAACGCTCTGCCTGCATTGTCGCCGGTGAATGTAATAAATGTTATACAACGTTCTTCAGGTCACTTGACGTGGCGAATTTAGTAACTTTCCCGACCAGACAAGACGCACAGCACGATGCTGCTTACACAAACAACATTAGTTTGTTTTCCACTCAAAAGCGTGCACCATTAAGCAACTCAGACTAAATGTATGCTAAAGATTTGCCCTACCATCTCCAGTAAAACTAACTACGCCGCATTGGGGAAACGACAATTAAGGACTATCCGACGACCCAACAGCTCGGTGGAAAATATCGCACGACCTCAATAAATGCCTTCTTCAACCGATTTTCCAGATTTTTCAGATGAAAATCGATCGCTTCAATACCATCATCTCTCGAGTTACATATACTACTGCTTCCACCTATGCTGCCCTAGCGAGACGATCTAACTGCGAGCAGACAGATTTTCTTCACTCCTACTGAAAAAAACTTCGAAGGAAAAAGGAACGTGATTACAAGCTCAAAATGACCACCTGAGTCAAAAGCCTGACTTTAGCAATTAAAGCTGAAATAACAAGACTAAACAGTTTATACATTGAAACGGTACTGGGAAACCGTAACTGCCGGGATCTCTGGAGGCTGTTGAAGCAAATCTATGGTAAAAGTACGGTCGGGTGTACTGGAATCGTGGATGTTGACAAACGCAATTCTGAGTTTAGTTCCTCTCCGTCGAGTGCTTTTCCATTACTCTCCTTCACCAGCTCAGGCCCAGCCGCCCTATTTGATCAACTTGACGTCAACAGAGAACTCAAAAAGCCAAATTCAAATAAAGGTAGTGGCCCTGATGGTTTTGAAGCATTGCGCCGATTCCTTTACATTACTGACTGATATTTTTTAACAAGCGTCTAACGACCAGTGCCATCCCCGACATCAGGAGGTCAGTCAGAATAACGCCAATTTCTAAAAATGAACTGCAAAAGTATCGGCCTATTGCTTGTGCTTCCGTGCTCTTACAAGTCGTTGAAAAGATACTAGTTTCACGGAGTTCCACAACCACTCGTGCTGAGGATGTCTACTAGTTTGCGTTTAGATCCTAACGCTCCACGCTTGATGCTGTCTCGCATTCAACAGCCTCGGCGCTGGATAAAAAGTGCAGGTCGATAACACTTTTTGGCTTGACCATTCAAATGCGTTCTGAAGTCTTGACCGATCAATTCTGCTCAACTTGATTTATTTGAACGGAGTCTACCCTGATGTTTTCAACTTGTTGAGTGACTATTTCACTGGTCATACACACTTTACTCAGCGAAACGGCAAAAACTCCTCTATGCTCTGCGCTGAATGAGATATTTTGCAGGGCGCGATCCTATCACCCCATTTATCCTCTGTAAATGTCGAAAGTCTCTCCATACCATCAACATTCATTGGATGTAGCCATGTTGACAATGTTGTCTAGGAGCGCAGAGCCCCATCCAATGAAAGGTCTACGCTCTAAGTTGGTTTAGACGAACTTATCAGTTGGTACTCAACCAAGTCCCTTAACCTTAATGTTTCGAAATGTACTGATATAACATCTTCATTTTACCACCCTGATAAACTGCAAGCAATTTTAGTTTCCTTTCCTCTATTAACTGGTGGACAAAACGATGTCTATTTCATCTACCATCAAATATCTCGGTGTCTATTTCTCCATAAAACGTTTTTGGTCCATTTACGTTCTGCAAACTTTTCACAAGGTTCGGAGGTTATCTTTTTATGCTTTCCGACTCAAAAGGTTCTCTGTATCGCGAAGCCTAATTTGCGATTTGAAACTGCATGTATACTACCCCAAGGGTTGTACTGTTCCCCAGTAATCTTACCTGGACTACTGCAAAAGGAGTATGTTTTGATTGTGCGATCGATTAAACATACTTCCACATGTGGTAGTTTGCCTAGATTCTATAGATTATTTCGAAAGCATTTCGACACTTGCATGAGTTTCTCTTCTAAGTTTCTAAGTGACCGCTATCATCCGCTACACGATACTCGCTCACAAACGTCATCTGTCATTCACACACGCTCAAAATTTAGGATTTTCGCCTATCATACTTCTTCATATCGTAACACAATCATGCCTTATTCGTCGCGCTTTCTCATCGACTCTATGAAAGTCACAAATGCAGTGCGCATGCCGTTGCTTGAATGACATCTACATATCTTTGACTATTTAATTCTTCAAGGTGTGTTCATGCGTTTTAACTGGTCCCATCCCTCCAGCATCTCCGCAGTGATAGTGTTAATGTTGAGAATGCACTTAGTTAGGTATATAAAGCCTGCTGTGACCTGATATATATATATATATATATATATACATATATATATATACATATATATATATATATATACCATTTTCACTTTAAACTGGACATTTTGCAAACCAAACTGGACATTTTGCAAACCAAACTGGACATTTTGCAAAACAAATTGGACACGTTGCAATCTAAGTAGCAACTCGCCAATTTGTTGGTAAGAAACGAGCAGTAAGACTGCTGAATGATGTTCAGAATATACATTGTGATGACTAGCGTCATCACCGGCATTGTGTAAGCAGCGGGCTACACTGTAAAACATTTGCTTGATCGTGAGCAGCGACCGAAGTTCTGAACTACGCTCCCCTCTCCCCATTGACATTCGCCTAGTTGGTGTGCAGTGCCCATACGCATCAACCTGTGTAGGTGTGTGACAATTGGAAAATCGGACGTCCGAATCGTAATAGTGTATCAATCATTTTGTGAGTGGATTGCGATGCGCAATCTCAATGTGCACCGTTATTCTCATTAGAGGGAACCTTGTCCGATTCGGTCAATGGGACCACGTCGGATGAAGCAGGTAGGCGGTGTCCCAGCTTCGCCCGTCTCTCTATTAGATTTCGCAACTGCCACGTTATTGTATCAGCGTAGGCTGTAATGACCCCCAGCAAAACCAGTCTAGATCTATAGCCTATTGTTGCAACATATCAACTACTGAGGAGTGGGCCGATTACACGATGTTCAGGTCACATTGTGGTCACGATAATGTAACCGAACTGCGTACGTAGCGCTTGATTGTGTAAGCCCTTCTCTTGACATGAGTGCCGTTCGCCTCGCTCGAAATCCGTGACCTATTTTCCCCTACACCCCCCCCCATAGGAATTCGTGTGTTTTGTCTGCGTGTGTGGACCGACCTATGCAGCGGTACCACTATTGGAGCGGAGCATACGATAATGGTTCCACTCAACACAACTTAGCTTTATTAGCTCCGTGCCGCACGAAACGACCAAAATGAGTGACGAACAACAGGAGAGCTGGTGTTCGACGCGACGACACTGCAGGCGAACATCATTTGAAAAGACGTGTTCAACCGGGTTTAGCATATACGAGTAGGGCGGCAAGAACTGCAGGTGATAAGACGAACCAAGGATCCTCCTTAGCTCATCAGGCATATGAATCCTGGCATTGTCCATGATCAGCCACGCGCCGTTCATCTCCACTATGCAGCTTATACACGCCACCAGTTCCTCGATGAACGCTGAGAACTTCGCACCATTGCAGGTGCCATCGTTAATGATCTTTAAATGGATGACGCCTTGGTTATTCATTCCAATAATCAGGGTTACCATGCGACCTCTGACTGTGGGTAACACGATGTTCGTGCGCGTCACTCTTCTTGAGCGAGCCTGAGTTCGCCTCAGATGAAGGTTGAAACCACTCTCATCTATGAAGATGCATTTCTCCTTGTTAGAAGGTGCATTTGCCGAGTACTCGAGAGCGTACGCCT